TCTCTCTCTCAAATAAATAAATAAAATCTTAAAAAAAAAAAGTTATGATGAACTCTCAAAGTAGTACAACTTTTAACGCCTCTCATAGGGAAACTGTTTCAAATTATGTAAACTGAAATATAAGATTATAAACTAAGCAGTTAATTGCTACTCATTTTTAATTAAAATGTATGTCACTTAAAATCGGAGACAACATAAATGCAAAGTAAATGACTGCTTATCCATACCAAGATTTGTTATTTTAATTCCTTTATCACTATAGCTTTTTAACTAATGTCCAAGGACTGCTTTGTAATGTATATTGTTCTTTAGAGAATTAACATTTTAGTGAGGTGGAAGTACTATTTTCTGTGCACTTAAAGTATCCCTGCAAGCTCTATATAAGCAAGTCGAAGCAAGGTCTCCTCATTTCCAATATGGTTTTACTCTTTTGTATATCATTGCTTCCCGCAAGTTCAACTCACCTCAACGACACAGGGCGTTAGTCGGAATAACGGTCAGGATCAATAAGCAAGCATCCGCCTAGGTGTAGCAGCCTTCCTACGGCAGTTAATGAGGCAGAGGCACCATCCCGGATTTTGAAAATGACATCCTGAAAGAGAAACCAAGTCTATCTAACCTGCAGCAGCTCACAGGCCAGTTGAAGGAGGGTAATGAGACTCCCACTCCCGACACCAGACTTTGGCTGACCCCTCGGGCTTGACTTCTTCCCCCCTCCGGCAACGCCCCGTGAGACAGGTCCACACTACTCGGGGCAAACAAATTGGTTTCTGAGCCCCTTGGAAACGGCGGGCGGTGGCAGGGGGGAGTGCCCGGGTTACCGCCCCTGCAACTTCACAGAGGTTGTTGCTAGTGGCCTCGGCAGGATGGGGTTGGGGAGATGGCATTTGGGACTGGGAGGCTACCTGCCTGCCACGTCCTTCTGCCTCGCACGCCGGTACTGGACTCGGAGCTACGCGGAGAACTGCTTACGACTCGGAGCTGACGACTCCGCGCCCTAGCGCCCCCAAACCCTAGAGCGAATGCAGAGGAAGGGGGAGCGGCCGGCGCGTCACTGGCGCTGGCGTGTGACGTCAGCGCGCGGAAGCCGGCGCGCATTGGGGGTGGTGGGGAAGGAGGGGCGCGGAGGGGCGGAGCCAAGGCACCGCAGGTGGGAAATGATGCGGGAGAAGGAAAAGATGAAAAGGAAAGAAAGGAGTAAGGCAGAGTTGAGGTCTAGAGCTCAGTAATATAAGCTGATTTTGAATAAAGCATTTTATAAATTTGTCCCACATATACTACACAGAGAAAGGGATTTTTTTTAACGTGAAGTCTGTTACTTAGGGATACCGCATTTTTAAAAGTAATTTTGCTTTAAAAAGCTAGCCTTTTTCTAGCACATTTTGGATGATTAAAGCAAGAAACTACTTTTAAGTATTGAAAACTTTTTAGAAGACTATAATGTGGCTTTCTACACATTTACATCCAATGTGTGTATAAATTACTTGCCGGTATATTGAAAGATGGTTGAACTTCAAGGCAGGACTTTAAAAGATAAGAACAGATTTTCTTGTTTAAGGGATTAGGTCTATTGTCCTTAATAGCCCTATGGCTAAATTGCCTTACCTTGAGTACCTCTGAAATACTGGAGAATCCAAATTTGAAGCTGAAGGAGGATGATGGCTTGCCTACTACATAAGTTACACTCCAGGTTGTACCTGTTGTACATGTGATGTATGTAGCCCCCTGGAGTGTTCACAGATTTTGCCAGAAACCTCAGAGGTCAAAGATTCAGATCATTGCTTCAACGAAATCTGCTTCCTTCTCTCTCATCCTCTCTCCAACACACCAACACCCAAGACCTCTCTGAGTTTTTCCAGTTTTTGGTTTAACCATGCTTTTATAAGAAACACTTAAAAAGCAAAAAGAAAAAGAAAAAAAATACTTTATTACTAGCGTGGAAATTGAAAGTTTTTGGCTTCTTTGCCAGAAGATGGCACTGCAAGTCATCTAACCTGGCAAATTGGAGAAAATCTGCTTTGGTTTATCTCTTCAATCTCCACCCAAGCAAAAGATTTGTTTTCCTCATTTTCTCATTTCTAGGCTAACCTCCTGTGACCCCTCCCACCCACAGTTAGTAGGAATTTTGGTGTCTGAATGCACAATAACTCTAGTGCTACCCACGTACTTTTGTACAGCAAAGCAACATAAGAATGTTGCCAATTGCCAATCTAAGTAAATTCTCTTTTGCTGCTTTCATGAAGAATGGCTAGTCAGATACCTCCTTAGATCATTTTTCAGGCTCCTGTCATAGACTGTTGGTGGGAATATAAAATGCAACAGTCTTTGTAGAAGGTATGCTAGCAATATGCATATCCTTTTGACTTCTTTTGCCAATTCTGTAAAATAGCACCATACAACATGCCACTCCCAGAGTGATAGAATTACCGACAGAAGGGAATGGCTTAGGGGCGGCTGGGTGGCTCAGTCATTAAGTGTCTGCCTTCGGCTCAGGTCATGATCCCAGAGTCCTGGGATCGAGCCCTGCATCGGGCTCCCTGCTCAGCCAGGAGCCTGCTTCTCCCTCTCTTGCTCCCCCTGCTTGTGTTCCTCTCTCTAGCTGTCTCTCTCTCTGTGTCAAGTAAAAAATCTTAAAAAAAAAAAGAAGGGAATGGCTTATACAACCTCCATTCACTGGTAATCTCTGCCATTTGTTTCTCTGTACCTGCCAGGGTAGCAGCAACACAAGTGAACAAGCAGTTCTAGACCTGGTTGGAAAAGATAAACTCTTACCACTGCAAGTTATTCTTTTTTCCCCTTCCCTGAAGGCTTAAAGATTTTGTTGGCTGGTTAGTAGGGAGGAAGTAAAGCTAATCTGAATATTGGTAGAGTTTTTGTTATTAATGCTTCAGCTCAGTTCTAATCAAAAGAAACTATAATTTCCAGTACAAGAACCTGATTTTATTCACAAAACTTATTTTGCTATGCCTCCAAATATTTCCTATATGCAGAGGGCTTACTAATTTTTGCTTGTTTGGGTTTATTTTTTTTTCCAATTTTATTAAGATATCATTGACATACAACACTGTATAAGTTTAAGATGTACAGTTTAATGATTTAACTTACATATATTATGAAATGGTTATCACAATAAGTTTAGTTAACATCCATGATTTCATATAAAGAAGAAAAAGTTGTTTTTCTCTTATAATGAGAACCTCTAGGATTTTTTCCCCTAACAACTTTCAAATATACTATACATCAGTCTTAACTATAGTCATGTTGTACATTATATTTCCAGTACTTAATTATCTTATAACTGAAAGTTTGTAGCTTTTTTTTTTTAATTTTTTATTTATTTATTTGACAGAGAGAGAGATAGCGAGAGCAGGAACACAAGCAGGGGGAGTGGGAGAGGGAGAAGCAGGCCTCCTGCCGAGCAAGGAGCCCGATGTGGGACTCGATCCCAGAACCCTGGGATCATGACCTGAGCCGAAGGCAGACGCTTAACGACTGAGCCACCCAGGCGCCCTGAAAGTTTGTAGCTTTTGACACCTTTATCACATCCCCCCATGTACCCCACCCTACTGAGGCCTTTTTAAAATGCATACTAAGATCTGTGGTCAAAGATAAATTAAGCAACCAGAATAGGCAGAATAACGGCCACCCAGTTATGTCCCTGCCCCCCAGTCCCTGGAATCTGTGAATATATTAGGTTACATGGCAAGTGGGAATTAAGGTTGCAGATGGAATTAAAGTTACTAATCAGCTGGCCTTAAAATAGGGAGATGATCCTCGATTATCCAGGTGGACCCAATGTAATCACAAGAGTCCTTAAAAGTGAAAGAGGAAGGCAAGAGAGTCAGAATCAGAGGGAAATGTGATTATGGAAAAAGTTTAGAATGATAGGTTATAAGAAGGACTCAACTCCGCTGTTGCTGGCTTTGAAGTTGCAAAAGACACAGAAATGGATTCTCCCCTAGAGCCTCTAGAAGGAGGCTAACACCTTTATTTTAGCTAGTGAGATTCGAGTTGAACTTCTAACCTACAGAACTCTAAGATAATAAATTTGTGTTGTTTCAAGCCACTAAATTCGTGGGAATTTGTTGCAATAGCATATTAATACAAACTCCTATTCTCTTAAGGTTCCAGGAGCAAAGTAGATCAGGCTGACAGGTAAATTATTTTTATTGCATAGAAAAAGCCCAAAGCTGGATCTGTAAAAACACCTTATTGGGAATTATCTCAGCCCAAGGAAGCTCCTTCTTAACCATCTTCCCTAAAGTAAAGGATCTGGTAAGAACCCCAATCAAACAGGATCCCTTCTGTAACACTTGCTGAGAAGAAATGAGATCAAGCTGGAAGTATTCACATTAGGACAAATAAAGAAAATGTTCAAGGGCTTTCATTGGTTATAGTCCTTACCATGTAAAACACCCAAGTCTGTTGAAGAGGAGATTTACCACCACTAGATTCTTCTAACAAAAATACTGAAGGAATTTTGGAGAAGGTTCTTCCCCAGATGGAATCTATTGTTGTATCACCAAAATATCATGTAGGACATTGTTTAGATAGATCGCCCCATGTCTAAAGTACTGGTTCTGGGGTGCCTGGGTGGCTCAGTTGTTAAGCATCTGCCTTCGGCTCAGGACATGGTCCCAGGGTTCTGGGATTGAGTCCCACGTCGGGCTCCCTTCTCAGCGGGAAGCCTGCTTCTCCCTCTCCCACTCCCCCTGCTTGTGTTCCCTCTCTCGCTGTGTCTCTCTCTGTCAAATAAGTAAATAAAATCTTTAAAAAAAAAATAAAGTACTGGTTCTAACTGAATGCTGCTTATTAACTGGGAATAATTAGGAATATGCATGTTTAGGCCTAAACCTGGAATAATTAAAACAATTTCTGAGAATGGAGCCCAAGCAAGAGTATTTTTTGAAGCTCCCTAGGTGCTTTTGATGCAAAGTGAAGTTTGAGAACTGCTGACAAGATGGCTGTATGTTAGAAATCATGGATTTCAAAATAAACACATTCCTGTAAAGAAATAAGGTAGTGCACAGTATAAACAATATTACAGAGAACAAAATGTGCAAGTCAACTCATTCTTGCCCACTTCCAAGAGATCCTTAGGATAATCCCCCATGTAGGAACTAATACACTACCATAAAAGGATTTAGGATTTATTTATAAAAGGATCATAGAAAGCAGATATGATTGATTAATAGCCTGTGACTATTATCTACTATTCTCAGAATCTCTGTGCTCCTTCCCAAAATTAGGCTACATATCTGCAGTGAGAGAAGAAAACATCTAATGTCTGTAAATCTCTGGTAAAATGTGTCCAACAGTGTTCTAAGTAAAATAATATTGTGCTTGGATATTACCATGGTTCCATGAACTCTACCTTGAATAAAGTAATGAAAGAGTCATAAGAAGTTTGACTATATTGTAAACACCCCCATCATCACCATGGGCACAATACCAACTCTGTAGCCCAGAACTGTACTGTTTGAGAATATTCAATTCTGCCCTGGAAAAAAAGAAATAGGATGGACAAAACTCATGTGTTAAGCACAGATAAAGTTACTAACCTGTGACATATGGGGGATAGATAAAGTCAGCAGGGCATATACTTGTGAACATAGGTAGAAAAGGCCAGAAAGACCAAAAGATGCCTAATATTAATGAAGCACTAAGCTTACAAGAGGAATCAAATGCTCATTGAGCACTATATATTCATGATACACTCAATATACACGAGACACTCAACATTCATGCGTCTTAATTCTGCCCCCAGTGGTGACACTCATACTGTGTCCCACATGACCTCCAAAGGTGCAAAACCTGCTCACCAGGTTAATTGACAAGCTACTGATGTGCCCAGGCACTCTTGTCCTTGCATCTCTTTGGTAAAGCCAGAGTGTCATTGGCTTAAGCATCTTCCGTCTCTGAATCTTTGCTCAAACATCAACTCTGGTCCTAATTACCTCACCATCAACAGGAAGGCTAATATGCCAAAAAGAGACACAGGACATATGAGCATTGCATAACCACATGTTTCATATCATGGGTCTTTC